AGATATTTTGAAAAATGCTGGTTGCTGCCACCCGTTAACTCCTATAGTATTTTTTTTACTACTTTGGAAGTACTAGAACCCCCATATACTGTATGAATTGCAAGATACTTTTAGGTCTTCATAGATTATTAAAAAAATCTTCATAGTAATCATTTAAAAGCTCTTTGAGAAATAGATTGATATGATTTATATAATGTATTTGAAACCGCAAAGGTGTTTTTAGAACTTGCATGCTTGAAAAGCTATTGTTTAGAAACCATTTGAAGGGATAATTCACCAAAAACTGAAAATTCTGCCATCATTAGTCACATTTACTTGTTTAAATCTTGTTTCTTTCTTCTGTTGAACACAAAAGAAGATAATTTGAGTGAAAATGTTGGAAGCATGTACCCATTTACATCCACACTCTCAGAAATAAAGGTACATGAGCTGTTTCTGGGGTGATACCTTTTCAAAAGTTAAACGTTTGTACTTAAAGAGTCAAAATTGGTACCTAATTGCTTGGCTCGTGTTTTCTTGGTCGAGCACTTGTTTCTGTCATTGTGTGTGTGCGCGCCTTCGTGGGTGTGTGCAGAGCGTGCGCGCTCCCGCTTGATGCGGCCGCGCGGGCTCTGCGTGCCTCTGACCAAGGGTGTTTACATTGTGGTCACTTTCTTTTGTCGTGTGCTTCAGTGTTGTGCTTGTCTTGTCATGAACAAGCAGTTAAAGAGTTCTCTCATTGGCTGCATGTTCTTGTCCTGTTTTATGTGAGCGCATGGCTTGTCTTGTCTCTGTCATGGGCTCTCCCGCCTATTGTCTAGTCCCACCCTCCTTGTTAACTCATAATTAGTTTGTCATGTTCACCTGTTTGTGTCAATTTACTTTTGCTTTATAATCCCCTCATGTTTTCTGTTCTGTGCCAGTTCCTCATCAGATGTCATCGTTTCCTGTCTTGTCCTGTTCTTCAGTTCGCCAGCCTGCCCAGTCTAGTTTGTTTGTTTGTTTATTTGTTTTGTTAATGTCTTCCCGCTCGGGGTAGTTTATTTTGCATTTTATTTTATGTTTATTATTTAATCAATTCCCCATTTTCCTGCACTTGAGTCCTCGCTCCTTTTTCCCCATTTCCCCTCACCAACCCTGACACATTTTAGGTACAAATTTGTACCTTTTGAAAAGGCACCACCCCAGTTGACAGCTCATGTACCTTTATTTCTAAGAGTGCATAGTATTTGTTTTGCCTACTATCAAAGTCAATGGTTACAACGTTCTAACATTTTTCAAAATATCTTCTTTTGTGTTCAACAGAAAAAAGAAACTTCTAAAAGTCTGGAACCCTTTGAGGGTGAGAATTTAAATTTGTGAGTGAACTGCCTCTTTAAATAGGATGATCGGACCATTTTAACACTGGAAATGTAGAGTCTTACTGATCTAATGCAACACACATTCTTTAATTAACTAAACACAAGATGTCCACTTATTGGTGATCCATTGGTCGAAATGCTTTAACTGTTAAATTAGTGAACACTTTTTCCTTGAAAAGTCACCATGTGCCTTTTTTCAATTTCAACCGGGTGCACACTGTGTGCTTCTTACTGTCCTTTACAATCATTGCTTCTCCGATTGTACAAGTTTCAGCACAAAGGCAATTAATCAGCCATTGCTGAGCATGTCACACTATGTGACCTGCAAATTTAGTCTCGGACGTCAAAATCGTGGCAAGAATCATACAGCGTGCCCCAGCTTTAAGCTAATAGGCACGCTTTGCTCTGTTGAGGTTGCCTAATCTGGGAAATTACTTTTACATTTGTTGCTAATTATCATGCTCAATGAGTAAAAATTGGCTGCATTTGTTCCCACTGGAGCAGAAAAGCAGCACTAAGACAGATTAAGTTACAAAAGCTGTGACATGAGAACAGAAGCCTTTTAGAAGGGAACGCTCATCTAAACATCGGCCTTTCGGGTGCTGACTAATTTTGCAGTCATTAATTAAAGCAGGACATGCATTAAGTAAGCCCTAAGAGGCTATGCAGTTTCCTTCTCCATTTTTTCTTTCATTTTCTGTGGTTCTCTACAATACATAACATAGTTAACATAGTGTGTGTGTGTGTGAGTGTGTGTGTGTGTGTGTGTGTGTGTGTGTGTGTGTGTGTGTGTGTGTGTGTGTGTGTGTGTGTGTGTGTGTGTGTGTGTGTGTGTGTGTGTGTGTGTGTGTGAGCGCGTGTGTGAGCGCGTGTGTGAGCGCGTGTGTGAGCGCGTGTGTGTGCGCGTATGGCGAGTGGATCGTGCCACTTCTCAGCCTCACATGGAGAAGGAGAAGGAGCAGTCGACCCTTACGTCGCCGCCTCAACGTGTCGAATTTTGAATAGGAGTGAATGGGAGGGCAGACGTCAAGGTAGCGGCGACGACACGGCGACGTCATATAAAAACCATTTTAGGCGGCGACGTAGCGGCGACGCACGTAAGAAAATTGCAAAAAAAATTGACGTGTATGGTACGTCTTAACTAAGTACGCCGCCTCACACGACGTCTCCTAAGCACGACGTCTCCTAAGTACGCCGCCTCACACGACGTCTCCTAAGTACGCCGCCTCACATGACGTCTTCTAAGCACGCCGCCTCACACGACGTCTCCTAAGCACGCCGCCTCACATCGCGTGTCCAAATAAAGCATTACTTTACCTATTAAAGCATTACATAATGCCTGAAAAACAATATTTATGTTCATTTAATAGTTTATTAATCCAAAAAGTTGTGATTGATCATAAAAATACCCAACTTCTCTTCAATGGCTGGTTTTTAAACAATGCAATACATAATTTAGTGTTAAAAAAATTAAATCATTTTCAAAGTATGAAATTATAAGGCATATTATAGATGTGTTTTTAAGTTATACAGCATTTGTAGCTTAAACTGCTTATAATATAAATAATATAATATAAATAGAAATATAAATATCTATTAATGTAAAGTTAATGCTTACATGAAAAACTATACTATTTGCTTATGTTTAATAACTGATTAGTGTGTATTATTATTATAAAGTGTTAACAAATTAGTAGCCTATTAAATTGCAGGCCTATTTTGTAATACTTGATAATGTAGAAAAATAACAGGACATGGTCAGGTTTAGGCTTATGGTTTAGAGCATTGAAAAGAAGGTACATTTCTTGTTCTTAACACTTGAACCACTTGAGATTTCTGTATACATAAAACCGCCAGCCAGGTATATTATACACACAAATTCTGTTTTGAAATGGTGTGAGGTAATATTATAATGCATCGTTGTTAATCATAGGTCTATATTAAGATGTAGGCTAATTTCAATATAAACAAAAATCAACGATTTATCATTGCATTCACGCGGGCAGCTTCACCTTATATGTTATTCTATTGTTTAGTCTTATAATTTATGGTTTCTTCTGATATGACAGCTACAGTTCTGACTGACTCTCTGCAGGGATTCAGATACAAATTCATAAAATTAAAGTACAGTGATTTTACAGCACATCCTAGACATGTAGACCTACATGTTAATATTGTGAAGGGACGTGTTATCATATAGGATTAGGATTTAATAATTAGGAATACGGCAAGGCAGTGGCGCAGTAGGTAGTGCTGGCGCCTCACAGCAAGAAGGTTGCTGGTTCGAGCCTCGGCTCAGTTGGCATTTCTGTGTGGAGTTTGCATGTTCTCCCTGCGTTCGCGTGGGTTTCCTCCGGGTGCTCCGGTTTCCCCAACAGTCCAAAGACATGCGGTACAGGTGAATTGGGTAGACTAAATTGTCCGCAGTGTGTGTGTGTGTGAATGTTTCCCAGAGATGGGTTGCGGCTGGAAGGGCATCCGCTGGTAAAAGCTTGCTGGATAAGTTGGTGGTTCATTCCGCTGTGGCGACCCCTGGATTAATAAAGGGACTAAGCCGACAAGAAAATGAAAGAATGAATAATTAGGAATACGTTGTAGGCCTAATGTTTGTAATGTTAAATGACTCCAGTACAAAATTATTTGCTGGATTGGTTACAGTATAAATAATAGCCTAATAACTATAGTCTAATACAGTAAGTGGGGTTTATTTTTAAACTAATTTTGAGAGGATCACGTGCTTATGATTGAACACAGTTGGTCACTGCATTAGCCAATTAATGATCCTCCAATCAGACGATTCTTTAGTCTCTATAAATACCCTAAGTTCCTCATCACAGTCATCTTTGTTTTAAAGAATCCCCCCTTCCACCCTTTACTCCTCCTCCTTTCTTAGATGGGTGGCACGGTGGCCCAGTGGTTAGCACTGTTGTCTCACAGCAAGAACGTCTCTAATCTTCACTAAGCCAGCCGACATTACTGTGTGGGCAACCCCAATTTGTTCATTAGCTATTACAGCAGGGGAGTTCTCAAGATCTACCTGAGCTCAAACTCCCCTCTCGCCATGCAACGGGAGGGAGCCCCGGGCTCGAGTATCTTATGAGCTCAGGGCTCTCTCCCAGGACAGCATACCAAACACGCTTGTAATCAATCATCAGCTAAGTGTGAACTCTTGAATAATGATTAAATTGTGGTGTACATGACGCGTTTGGCAGAGAGATTTATGTGACCAAATGTAATGAAACTATTTTTACAAATCATAGCAATCCGATCCTAGAAAATGCATGGCCCAACAAGCTCTTAGAGAAGCTTTATTCGTTAATTTGACTAAAACATAGACAAGTAGCCTAAAATGATTCAGATGACTAAATATTCATTCATTCATTTTCTTTTCAGCTTAGTCCCTTTATTAATCAGGGGTCGCCACAGCGGAATGAACCTCCAACTTATCCAGCATATGCTTTACGCAGCAAATGCCCTTCCAGCCGCAAACACTGTGAAACACTCATACACACTCGTTCACACACACACACTACGGCCAGTGTAGTTGATCAGTTCCCCTATAGCGCATGTGTTTGGACTGTGGGGGAAACCGGAGCACCCGGAGGAAACCCACCCAACATGGGGAGAACATGCAAACTCCACACAGAAACACCAACTGACCCAGCTGGGGCTCAAACCGCAGCAACCTTCTTGCTGTGAGGTGATTGGGCTACCCACTGCACCATCGTGCTGCCCTATGACTAAATATGACAGTAATGTTATTTATTAGGTTAAACTAAATCAAATTTTGTGGTCAAAATATAATACTTACTATGCTGAAAACGCAGATTAAGTTAACAATTAAGTGAATGTGAATATTTAATGTGATTATTAATAATAAAAAATAACTAAAGTATAATACAGTATTTATTACAGCTTATCATTTATGCATTATGCACGGGGTATTTTTTCTGGTGTAAAATGCTGTTAGCTTTTTTTATCATGACGTTTTCTAAAACATTTTTCCCAGTGTAAGTTAAAATCAAAATCTGTTCTGCATTTAGGCTGTTTAATTAAAATAAACACCTTGTTTTTACAGAGTGACATCTTTATTTTATAAATACATGTATTTATATTTATTGTTTATTTATTTTTTACAGTGAATCTGAGGCACAAATAACGTGTGACTTTAGTAGGCTACAAAAACACTAAGCACATTTTAAAGATAAAAGGTTTGTATATAAAACTGCTAATTACATTTCAAATCCACTATTAAATATAAAAAAAGTTATTATCTAAATCGTTTATGTAGTGATCATGTTTATTTATGTAAATGCTACTTGACTTTGATGAGCGCGCAGGTATCATTCAAAACACTGGAGCGGGAGTTGCTATGGGAAACGAGGCAACGATGCTTTGACAACACAACTTCTCTCACGCTGCTGTTTTCAGGTAAGTTTAGTGCCTAAAAGTGCCTTAGTGCCTGGTAATTGATGTATATTCTGTTGAATATTTATGTTATATAAATGGTTAGTCTTCAGGAAAAAGTGCGTTAGCATCTTAGCACTGGTAATGTTAACTTTGGGCTAGCATTGCATTAACTTAACATTACTGATCTTTTGTTAAACTTGTTTATTAGAGTTTTTGCTTTTAATTCTTCTTTATGTGTAGATGACAGGTTTTGTCAATGTTTTATTTAAAATACTCTAATTTATTTAGTCTAAAATATGCATTGTACTATCAAGGAGCGTGAATCAAAAGTTCAAAGATGTTTTGATGTTTCATGGTAACGTTAAGCAAATATTGGCTAAAAGTGCTCTGTGGTTTCAGGAGTGACAGAATAACACCCTGCTACAAAAAAGAGGATACAAGATTTCTACATTTCTGAAGTGAGCTGATCACAGAGATGCAGGAAACACAGGTAACTGTAAGCAGAGGATTAATTAATATGAATTTCAATTGCATATCAATATACACATTACATGTCTACATCATTCATGCTTAAGTATCAAGGTGATAATATACAGTGTCTTGTAGTACATGAGCTGGCTAATACAGACTAGTAAATGTTAAGTTGTGGAACTCTGACAGATTAGTTCACTAAATCCTACACTTGAGACCGGCCGCATATAAACTGCATATGCGGCCGGTAACAGACATTGTATATCATCACCTTGACACTTAAGCTTTCTATAAAAGTATTTTGTGTAACTGAACTGAGTTTAACTAAAGCTACACCAGCTATCCCACTGTATGTATATATATATATATATATATATATATATATATATATATATATATATATATATATATATATATATATATATATGTGAAAATATAATGTATATAATTAAGTTAATAGTTTCATATGGTCCTTCAGAAAAAAAATATTCCAATGTACCGATCTCCTGCTCAAGCTGGAAATTTTAAATATAAAACATTTAAAGAAACTAAATATTTTTCAGTATTCTTGATGTATAAAAAAGGTAATTTTTCAAAAGTGTAGTATTTATTTGAAACAAAAAAAATCGGCTCTTTGATGATTGATGACAATCAGACATGTTGCACAAAAAGAATGTGCATTCGATTATCGTTTTATCTGAGTATTCTCACTGAGCGTCGTCCAACCATATTCCAACGTGTCGTTTTAAGTTTTCAAATAAGTCTGAAAGACTTGATTAGCTGCATCAGGTGCATTTAATTAGAAAGTTGAATCTATAATGCATCTCCAGTAAATAGATATCCAGATGCATTAAATATCATGTAACCCTTAACGCATTATTAAGCAACAGAATATCTTTTTTATTTGTTGCATGTATACAGGCTATACATTTTCAGAATGTCATCTGCTCACAAACGTCTGTCCTTTATGTTAGCTCACTTGAATTGATTTGACAGTAACCCCCATCTGCTAGATTAAATAGTTTTTAGTCATTTTACTGCATTATTAAAGAAAGTAATGTTAAAATCACTACAAGGATTTAAGTGAATTGCACATTTTTCCAATTAAAAAAAATAAAAATCATAATTATTTCTTGATAAAGCCTCCTCTACAACTTGCATATAATAGTTGTTTGCTGAAAAACATTTTTGTAGCAAAAATAAAATTATACTATATTAAATGTGGTGTACAGTATATTAAGTTGTCGAAACCTCACTAAATTTGCATATAATGTGGTATTTGAAGATCGGATATCTGTTTAGATACACAATTACAGTAACACAATGATACTAAAAGCTAAAAAACGTTTATTATGATTTCACAGAGAATTTAACTTTCATAACACATACTTGCACTCCAGTTATAGGTCATGAAACAGTTTTTTGTCTGAGGTAATATGAACTGCTGCAATACTAATTTTTCTCCTTTTGGTTTCTTGTTTTATTTTAGGGTTGCTACTCCAAGGTTTAGATTTGACTACTGCAGTCCTGGTGTGGGTCCAGCCTCACTTGTGAAGACTAAAGATGATGACAACATTTAAGAACACCTTTAGATGATGGCCACACACTGTATTCCACCTGTATATCCATTTTCATGTGTAAGCATCATTCCACAAGATACAACAAAATTTAACAACAGGTTATTTAATTTAATGACAAAATCTGTTTTTTTTTTGTGTTGTGCATCAGTTTTCTTTAAAAATGAACTGGGTATCTCTGAGAAAGTATTGTCATTTTATTTTATTCACATGTTATTAGTACAGAGGAGATATTACAAATTGTTGAATACCAATTATAAGATTTGTTTTTAACAGAGCATAAGACTACAGACTTTAATAAGATTTTATCAGAAAATTATTTTTTAATTTGCATGATTTCATTTACTCCTGTAAATATTGTTTGCCAGGTATTTTTAGTGTTTATGCACTCTTTTATGCACTCTTTTATTTATTATAACTCTATTGTAATTTATTTTAAGAAAGTCTGAACACATGAACACATGTAACACATGACTGGTGTTATCTTATATGTTAAAATTATAATTTTGGAAAACATGCGTTTTCTTTAACATTATTTAAGAAAGTAGCCTACCAGCATTGTAAAATGTGCTTGCACAATTTGTGTTTTTACTATAGTAAAACTGTATCCACCATGAGTGTTTTGAAGTACTTGTAAATATTACTATGGTTTTAATGTAAATGCTGTAATGGATTTTGTATTTAAAATCTTTATTGCAACTAATTAATTGCAACTTTATTGCAACTAGTTAACTCAGCCATGGTTATTGTGAAACTGGTTGACTTTGTTTTAAATGTGGTAAAGCATGGTTGTGAAAATACTAATAAATCTTGAACTGTTATTGAGAGTGGCGCATCATTTTTGTTATAAATCAGCAGCTGGTGGAAAGCTGGTGGTCCATAAGTATATGTATGAGCAAAACGAAGGTGAACCGCGCCCCCGCGGAGTGGCCGGTATTTCCGGTTTCGTCGTCCCCCACACCGGACAGCATTTCTGATCTTATTTGGCGACACATGGCAAGCATTGTTATCACACGTTTGATGGGGCGACGTTACTGTGAGACGTAAAAGAGGCGACGTTAGTGTCAGACGTCTTTGAGGCGGCGTGCTTATCACACGTTTGTTGAGGCGACGTCAGTGTAAGATGTGTGTATGAGGCGACGTGCTTATCACACGTTTGTTGAGGCGACGTAACCTTCTCAGACGTAAAAGTACACGACTGTCTCCTTCGTTCGGTTATCCGTGGCACTATCCACTCGCCATAGTGCGCGTGTGTGTGCGCGCATGTGTGTGCGCGCATGTGTGTGTGTGCGCGCGTGCGTGTGTGTGTGTGTGCGCGTGTGTGTGTGTGTCTATATATATATACAGTGGAAGTCAGAACTAGCCCTCCTGAATTATAGGCCCCCCTATATATTTTCCATAATTTCTGTCTAACTGTTTTTTTTTTCAACACATTTCTAAACATAATAGTTTTAATAACTCGTTTCTAATCACAAATTTCTTTTCTCTTTGACATAATGACAGTAGGTAATATTTTACTAGATATTAAAAAAAAATACTAGCATTCGCCTTAAAGTGACATTTAAAGGCTTAATTAGGTTAACTAGGCAGGTTAGGGTGATTAGGGTACTTAATTAAGTTATTGTATAATGATGATTTGTTTTGTAGACTATTGAAAAATATAGCTTGTTGGGGGTATTAATTTTGACCTTAAAATAGAATAAAAAAAATTAAAACTGCTTTTATTCTAGCCAAAATAAAATAAACAAGACTTCAAAAATATACTTAAAAAAAATATTATCAGACATACTGTGAAAATTTACTTGCTTTGTTAAACAACATTTGGGAAATATAAAAAAAAAAATACATAAAAAATCAAAGGGGGGCTAATAATATCTGACTTCAACTGTACTTTCAAGGTATGGTCCTGCTTTAAAAAAAATTCCTCTACTGTCTAAAAAAGAAGAATTCACCATTCTATCTATCATATGAATTTATTTTTAACGGCCAGACACCAGTTTCACAGCTTTGTGAATAGCAGTGTCATCACTTAATGATCCGCTATCTGCAAATGTAGCTTGTGTGAACACTACTGCGATACTTGCTTGAAATAACAGCTTTACTATCGCTACGCTACTGAGAAATGTGGTTACACTAGTAGCGTTGCTAGTATAGTCAGTTGCATGCTACTGCCGAACACTGCTTTTTACAGTTTTTCTTGTTTGCTTTGACCTGGTCAAAGAAACTAGGTTCCACTTCATTTTCATTTTCACTATCCCAGCAGAAGACAAGTCTTGCAAATGTGTAAACCCTTTCTCGTTGGATTGACACATTTTCCTCACCATATTTCAAAACAGTTAACACGGATGTCATTCAAGCAGTCCAAACTCCATTGTTTTAGCTATGGTAACCAAACAGAAACCATCTATTCCTAACCATTAGAAACTACCAAGATCAGTTTGAATTCACTGAAGCAGCGGTTTGACACTCCTTCACACAAGTCTTCTATTAGCAATCAGTCTGCAAACATTAAAAACGGTGGATGGTCTGTGTTGTTCTGTGCCAGCATGGATGGAAGAGGTCAACAGGGGTTATGTCCTGTACTCCTAATACTCTTAATTTAGTTTAAATGTATTTTCTTTAATATTTACAGTATTTTAATACTTTTGTCTGCTTTCACAGTACTTTAGTTTTCAGCCACAGTTTGAAAATTGTCATGAATTCAATATAAATTAAATCAAAGCATTTCTTATTCTGGATCTAATTCTTTGCAAAAAGGTAAAGGGCAATGGCAAAAGGCAATGGCAAGCAATGGGGGTGCACTGACTTCTGTATTTTGTATTTTGTTGTCCATTGTGTGATGATTAATTGAAAGAGCTCATATACCTGTTTGCAAGTTGTGTTGTTTGAAGGTAAAACTAGCTTTTGTTGCATATTTTAAATGTTTTGTCACGATATGTGCCTTTTGCAAGCATAATGTGTCATTTTGACCATGAGTACTGCTGTTTAGGGCTGTGTGTCAACTGTTTTGAAAAGGTGGAGTTTCAGTTGACTACTGCATCCAAGCAATCGAGAAAAACTGTTATGTTATTATAACCTAAAGATGCTACTGTACACTCTAACAATACTTTTAATGTCAAACTACAAATTTTTACTTTTATAAAAATACTTTACAAAAATACTTTTTTTATTTTAAAATTTTTACTTTAGTTCAAACTACTTATTTAAAATGATTTGACACCGCACAAGTCAAGTTTTTTTGAGACAGCTTGATTATGTCATGTTCAATCCACTTGATTTTGTAAAGATGATTAAGTTAAGTGAATCAATTTGTGTTACTGCATTTTTACCTGTAAAACTTTGAAACAGAAAATAGTGTTTTTCATCAAGCCTCTATCTTTATTTACTTTTTTTTTTGTCCAATTAACCTTTCTGTCGTGTTCGCATTTTGCCCTTTCTTTTAGTGTTCCCGGTCAAAATTGACCGGTCTGTTTTAACTGCTCTTATGTTAGCACGAAAAAAAAATTTCTCCACCAAATGTTTATTTAACGTTCTTTAGCTGTAAACAATGCCTCAAAGTAGTGTTTAACATGAATTTACAAAATTTGACATACAATATCTGCAATGAAATTAAAAATATGTGCTGAAATAAATAAATGACAGAAAACAAAATACTTTTTTCATTACTAATAGACAGCTAACTAAAAAAATGCACAGTGTCTGACCAAAGAAATTGAAATTTTATTCCATCTGAATGATTTATCAACCTGGAAAGCACAAACAAATTGCTCTCCTTTATTGTGACAAAGAAAGAAAGAAAGAAAGAAAGTAAGTAAGAAAGAAAGAAAAAAAGAAAGAAAGAAAGAAAGAAAGAAAAAGAAAGAAAAAAAGAAAGACACACATAGATGGATTCACATAACAGACACCTAGTCTGTGTGAAGATATGATACACTGTTTTATCAGGAAGTAGATTCACGTTCCGTTGGAGGATCCAACACTTACATGGCAATTCATAACTTGTTTAGTAGCTAATCCATATGAATTTGTACAATCTTATTCATACAGTTTTGTACAATTTGCCTATCCCCAATGACGATTGGGTTTAGGGGTGGGGCTGGGTGACACGACTCCTTTTAAAAATCGTACAATTTTGTATGACTGAACTCGTATGAATTAGACACTAAACTGACAAAAAGTAAAATAGTTATGTTTCCTTAAGATCAGGCTGGAGGATCAGCACATAAGGGTGTAAAAGATGTGTACCTGAAAAAGACATTGTTTAGTCTGGAGTGAGTGAGTGAGTGAGTTAGGGTGGTGTGTGTGGGGATAAATCACAGGTGTAACTAGGTTAAATAAAACACTCAAATATCAACAAAAGAGATGATCATCACTTTTAAATGTTCAAATGCATAGTGTGGAGGATATCATAAGGCCTTGAGGCAATCAGATGTAAAACACAATATTTATGATGGATTTAAGTTGTAAATTGGTCAGATTTAACCTGAACACGATAGTAAGGTTAAATTCATTTATAGCATAACTCTTTATACTGTGTTTAAAGAGTGAAATAGTTATGGTGCTCAACATTTTTTGTACAATTCTGGTAAATGGTGATGGTAGATGAATGTAAAATTATTTTTTTAACTAGATTTTTTAATAATTTATATATTTCCAATCACTTTATTGCAGCTTTGCGGAATAAAAAAAACATAGTGTACCAGTGCCAAACTTTTGAACAGTAATATATTGAATCCTTATGGTAGAGTGAATTCATTTTTCTCTTGGTCTGGGGTTCATTCAGGCTGAAATAGCTTTTTGTCTTTCAGTGATAGACCTCTTCCAAATCAGTGTCTGACACTTGAGAATAAGAGTATGGCTTTATCAGCAAAGACACTACAATGGTTCTGAACATGAGGATCATTTAATTCCCATACCCGTCGTGAGTGTTTGTGCTTATAGAAGGATATTTGACTGATGCTAATTGCATATTTTGCACATGGAAAAAAATATAGGGAAATAATAATGCAACAATTTTAGTCAAAAAGTTTTGAATGCAAAAACTAACATCAAAAAGTGTCTTTGTGTTGTTTAATCAGACGTCTCGCAATATTCACATTTATACAAAAGTTCTGTCTGGTTCTCGAATTGGCTGATAGCTGTGCAATATTCCTGTAATAACAGCACTCGTATAGCCTCTTGTGTATTACTTTAACTATGTGGATGGATAATAACAGCCTTCTGAGCCTACTAATGGCCCATATCTATCAGCTGATGACCACTGATAACATCCATTCAATCGAGTGATAACATTCGAAGCGAGTGTTGAATTTGCACAGAAAAACTTTTTTGTTATCTTGTTTCCTTTAAGACACCAATATCCACTATGAAATAATTTTTGGGAGATAATTTTACAACTTCCCCAGAGTTAAAAAGTTGAATTTTTCCACTTTTAGCTTAGCTTAGCATTAATCATTGAATTGGATTAGACCATTAGCATTTTACGCAAAAAAAAAAAAAAGTATCTTAATCAAATTCCCAAACTAAATTTCCTAATAAAGGTTTACTCTTCTGAATTTACATTGTGTATCAAGGCAAAGAGCAAAGGAAAAGTAGCTATTTTCTAGGCCAATTGGCTAGGAACTATACTCTCATTCCAGCGTAATTATTAAGGAACTCTGCTGTTGTATGCGGATGTGCGATGATATTACCTAATCAGCCTAGAAAATATACATGATGTAACTACAAAACAATCAAGCGTTTAATTTAAACTTTAAATAAAAACTAATAAAAAAAAAAAAAATTTGCAAGATGCTAATTGTCAAATCCAATGATTTATGCTAAG